TGGTGGCACTGCGAAGGAAATTAGCTTAGTCGAATCGTGTTGGTATTAAAGGGTTAAAAGGCTCTAATCAAGACGCTCTAATCACTGAGCAGCTGGAAGTCGTTAAGCTTCCAGGAATGTGAGTTTGTATAAATAGTCAGCTCACTCATGTGCTTGCCCCTCCTTTCTTTTGGCGTGTTTGCTGATATGTGTGGTTTGTCACCAGGGTTTTTTGTTTTTGTGTAAAATAACCTTTTATTTGAGTTCCAAACCGCTTGCTCCAAGATTCCTTTATTGAAGGGATACTGACACTCCGGCCCTTCTTAAACTGCTGCGCGAAATGCTCTGCTGTAATGGGACATTGTGGCGTTGGAAGCGCACTGGACATTGGCTTAGCATTAAACTAATTAAAGTTTAATGGGACAGGTTATGGATGTTGTACGTCAAGAAGGAGATAAGGAGTGCAGTTCAGGGTGATTTATGAAAGGACTGGAGCGGTTGCCGACAACGAAAGCCTTCAAAGCAGCTTGAGTCCTGCAATGTGCCTAGAAAAAAAGTTTTAAACAGGCACTGCGCAGTTTGTACTCGCTGGAAGACGTCTATTCCTCGAGGAGCCACCTCAGCAGCTGGAGACGGTCTACAGGTGTGTGAGTCGTTCCTAAGCCCCAGGGAGGATGGCAGAGTCCCAGGAAAGTTTTACTGTCCCATTTACGCGACTCAATGGGAAAAATTGGCAAGATTGGAAGGCTAGAGTAAGGGTTTGGTTGCAAGCAAAAGAGTTGTGTAGTTGTACTGAAGCACCGCCTTTACAGGCAGCTGCAGACGCCGTCTGCAGAAGACAAAGCAGCAGCGGCAGCTTCACAGAAACGCGACAGGAAAGCCCAAGGTCTACTAGTTTTGGCAGTGGGACCAGAGCAAATGCCTTATGTTTCTGAGTTAAAGAACACGCATGAGGCTGGACGGTTCTGCACGGCTAAATTCCAGAAACACTGCGGGGGCCAAGATCCATGCTACAAGATGTTTGTTTGATTTACGTCTCCAACCGGGAGCGTGTGTGAAAGAACATATTGCCAAAATGGTGTCTGCCTTTAATCAACTAAGACAGCTGGGCATTCCTTTCTCTATGGAGCAGCAGTCATACATATTGTTGTCTTCTCTTGATAAAAGCTATGAGACTCTAGCTTTAACTTTGGAAGCTATGCCTTCAACTGAATTAACCCTTGAATACATTTCTTCTCGACTTGCAGATGAACAGGATAAAAGGCAAAGAGAAAGAGTTTGTCTTCAAAGGGGAGTTATGCTGTGCCTAAGATGGGAATGCGAGTTTGAGAACACAGTAAATGCTTTTGCAGCTAGACACTGTTTTCGCTGTGGTTCCTCTTCCCATTTAATCAGGAATGTACATGTGAACCTGGTCAAGAAGCACCAAGGCCATTACCCCTAGTTACCAGACAAGGAGTTCCAGGGGACGTCGAAGAAGAGGAGGAGGTCGTGGCTACTCCCACAGCACACAGCACATGGCTTCAGCAATGGCGTTGATGCAAGGGCGTGGCCAAGGCAGCAATCTACGCTGGTTGATAGCAGTGGTGCATCTCACCACCTGGTGGCGCCATCTAGTGTCCGTTTGCAGAATTGCAGACATTTGCAAACCCCTAAAGTTGTGACAATGGCAGATTCAACTAAACGTTCCTTAGAGACCGGTGGCACAGTGTTCCTGAGATGGCAAGGTAAACCCAAAACACAATATTCAATGAGGATGGCTAGATGCAAAAGACAGCAGGGCTGCTGCTGCGCTCTGTGGCGTAGCGTGGGTTGTCAGCACCTGGGGCAAGGCAAGTAATTTGCGCCCCCTAACCCGTGGATTTTGCGCCCCCTAACCCATGGAGCGCGCCCCCCCAGATGTTGCACCCGGTGCGGCCGGCCCCCCCTGCACCCCCCACGCTACGCCCTGGCTGCGCTGCACCTTGGGGTTTTTCCAGCATGTTCAAGGTTGCACGCTAAGTTGAATTTCTCTCTTCTGCACAATTATTAAAGGTGCAGCAGTTCGATCCTCCTTTGCACCTGGCCACCTCCCTGAGCTAGAGGGACTAATGGTCTAACTCAACATAAGGTAGCTTCCAATTTTCCTTTTGGATTGGGTGTGACATAAATTTTATTAATGAATAAATGGCTATCAACCCATTATGGCTTCACATTGGCTTCCAAAAGACAGCTAGTTTGTTTGTTTGTTTGTTTGTTTGTTTGTTTGTTTGTTTTTTGGGGGGGATCCCAGTACTTCCAACAAATAATTAGGTTTGGGTTCCATTGAGTATCCAGGAATAGGGAATACAGCTGTACCTAAAAATCGGAGTTATCCTTCCTAACCTGAACTGGTGTAAACTGTCTCAGGGTCTACCACTGCCTGGAATTGCTATCACTGATGGCAACTCTAGTGCAAATACAAAGCTCAGTCCAGATCCCTTGGACAAGAGGAAGAGGTGGTAATGGCTGGAATCTGTGGATTGCTCCGGCATCTTCCAGGAATCCATTTGTATGTAGCCGAAAATAATATTGTGGATTAGATACTGGACCAGTGGACCAGTTATGCTACTGCATTTGTAAATTGTATATCTGACTTTATTGCTCAATTCACTCTTTTTACATGGTTTCATTGCATTTTATGACCTCTCTGTTATTTACTGTACAGGCATTCCCACCCCCTTATGCGGGGGTTATATTCCAGGCCCCCGCACACAGAAGCAAAGATTGCATAAGTGGGGAGCCCCCTCTAAACACCCTCTCTGCTGCTCTCTCTCCAATCCAGTCCAAGAATACTGTATCCAAAATATGCACACCAAGAATTGAAGCTCTGGGGACGGCTGGAGGATGCGCAGAAATGTGGCTTATGATGCTTCCCTACTCTGTGCACATCAGCTATTAGGCGGGGAAGCCGAGTAGCCTAAACAAAGCCCCACTGCAAGGCAGTGGAGCAAGCTGACCAGGAGCCTGGGGTGGCGCCCATGCCCTGCACCCAAGGGGGGGGGGCAGCCGCCCATGGGGCAGGGAGCGCTGGGGCAGGACACTCCGTGGGGCCTCAGAGGAATCTGCCTTCTCCCACTCAGCCACCCTACAGCTGGGGGGGAGGCGACAGGCAGACATTTTGGGGTAGCACAGAGCCTGCGGGCACCCAAGCAATTGTGTCACTCCAAGGAGAGACACATGCCGCCCGGCATTTTATCACCCCCTCAGGGGTGACACCTGGGGTGGATCACCCCCACCACACTCCCCTTCCTCCACCCCTGCCGCTGCACCTCCAATCTCTGTGGAACTTCCACCACCCTCACGGACATCCTCTTGGGGCTCTGGGAAGGGTCTCCTCATGAGCCACAAGGACACCCCAGCTCTCCTATCATTTCCAGGTTTGAATCTAATTATTTATTTCCCGGCACTGCACAAATACACATTTGAGTGCACGTCAATGGTGTGTAAGTGGGAGGAACGGGGACACTTGTAATTGTAGAGAGTGAATTGTTGTTTCATTATTATTTTGAGAGTGAATTTTACGTGAGATGATATCCCAACTGAGCTATCCAGGTTATTATTCTAAATGCATAATTGAACATTACTTTATTTGATATAACTTGTTTATCTCAAAGTCATATTATTTATGATGACTTATTGGCATTGGATCAGATCATTATAGGATGTGTGACTTTTGCTCTATATATTGTTGTTTTCACGGCTTGTAAAGGGCTTTTAGTGCAGCAATATAGAAAGGCAGTATACAAATTAAAGTGAAAAGAGTGGGAAGGAAAAAGAGAAGAAGTTCATCTTGAACATCTAGCTGTCACAGTTGTGCAGGATATAGAACTTTTCACAGAGCAGAATCTATAGGAGAGAGAGTATTGTGGTTTTGGAATGTATGTGATCCTGTTAAGGGGCCCAGTGAAGATGCAGAGAGGAGTTTCAACTGATGCCGGGTTCATTGGCTTGCAAAACAAATAGTGTGGAACTGAGGCCATCTGACTTCATAAGCAGCCACCCAATACCCGAGTGAAGAACCAAAAGGGAAATCCAATCGCATGCTGTGGATCTTTGCTCTGACAGCTTTGGAGAAGTGACCCTTTGGGAGAGAAAATCACTTAACAAGCGCAAAGTTCAGGCTGCACAAAAGCTGCCTCCTGTTTGCCAAAAGGGGTTACAAAACAACAGCGTTCTTAGAACAGAAAGTGTGGTCAGTGAGACTCTGTGATGCCAAATTAATATTATTATTCTTTTTTTAAAAAATAAAATAAAAAACCATGGGAAAGGGCAGACTGGAGACATTTTATAAAAATGTATCCTGACCAGGCTGTTTCTCCACAGTCTCCCATGAAGTTAGATGCGCAATGTCCACATATGCTGAATGAAACCTCAGGTGAACCCTGCACATGACATACAGTATCTACCTACCATCTCCAGGTGGACTTGAATCGAGGACCTGTACTGCAGGCTGCCAAAGTGATGTAATGTTTGATTCAGGATTTCATCAGCTGAACAAAGGTGAAGCCTAAAAGGTACTCTTGGGTGGTTATTTCTCAGTGATTGTAGCAGCCAACACAGTTCGAGATCAGAAGTTTTAAAAGAGGAGTTAGCATGATTATGGGTAGGATTGTGGTGCTTGGTGGACTGACCGTCTCTCCCATCACCCAGTGAGCCTGATCATTGTCTGTTGTTGTTGTTTAGTTGTTTAGTCATGTCCGCCTCTTCGTGACCCCATGGACCAGAGCACGCCAGGCACTCCTGTCTTCCACTGCCTCCCGCAGTTTGGTCAGACTCATGTTTGTAGCTTCGAGAACACTGTCCAACCATCTCGTCCTCTGTCGTCCCCTTCTCCTTGTG